TATTATTATTATTATTATTATTATTATTATTATTATTATTATTATTAATATTATTAATATTATTATTAATATTGTTGTTGTTGTTCACATTGGGTTTTGGTTATACTTGTGGCAAACTAGCCAAAACTGCCAAACTGACCAGTTCTGTCCTCATCATTAGTTTTTCTGGTTTGAACTAAGGGTGATAATTTGGCCTTGTTTGTCTGAATAAAATGTGTTAAGCGAAAGCCTTGATTCATCAAACCAATGTTGGGCATTGGTGGTTAAATATGATCTCATCTGGAATATGAAAGATTGTGACTTCAAAACTAAGAGTGGTAAATAGTAAGGAATATTGGATTAATATATGGAAGGGAGGGAAGATGGAGGGAGGGAATGAAAGAAGAAGGGAGGGAGGGAGGGAGGGATAAAAGAAAGGGGAAATGCACAAGATACAAATGGTCTGATGGATTAAAATTGGGAACCTGCCAACATTCACTTTTATTAGATTCTCTTTCCAGATGTTTCATTTCCTACCATGTACTAATTACACTTTTAAAAATGAACAACAAAAACTAAGTGGTGGCTTCTCAAACAATGAGCAATTGCTTATTTTGCTTTCACCTTCATCCTAAAGCTATCATTAAAGCTGTTTGATGAAACTGTTTTGCCTTGTTAGGTGAAAAACAAAATCTTACAGAGGCACTTAACAGAAAGACATGAAAACAGCAGTACATAAGTAAGATGTCTATAAACAGTAATTTCAGTAAAATGTCTTCTGGTGGTTGAGTTGGGGATCTAATAGGAAGAATAATAGAGGAAGAAGTAAGCCAATTTGCTGAGTATCTTCTTTCTGTTACAGTGCATTTAAATCTTGTACTATAAATATGTCCTTGTTTGCATTTTCTGTTGCTTTTTCATTTTTGGATTTTAGTTGATAACATTTTTGGCCAGGCCAGGTATAGCCTTCAAAAAGTATGTTGGCAAATTGCCCCAGCACATGGTGTATGGACCACAGATAAGCAAGAGGCATAATATCATATATGTGATAATCATACACATACATATACACATATAAATGCACACACATATACACACAAACACCATTTCCAAAAGTGTTGGCAAGAAAACTTCAGGGACTTTCCCAGGTAGTCTCCAGGACTGAAGATTGATTTCAATGCACAAATTCACACCTACCCACACACATGTGAAATGTGAAAAAAATTGTTGAAAGACATCTACCAGCATTGTACTGAAAAGATCTTAGCATTTGGGGTGAACAATAAGAATATTGCAGCTGAAAGTATGTGAAATATATTTATTGAAATTTTTAAACACAAGATTAAGACTAATGCAAATTAAAATAGAGTTTAAAAAAAAAAGAGGAAAGAAAAAACTAATTGTTAAAAGAAAAAGAATAGCAGAAAGATAGAAAAGAAAGAAAGAAAAATATAAAGAAGTGGCTATTAATCTTCTTTACTGCGGTTATAAATAAAATTATAAATTGACCTCTCTCTCTTAAGTTATTCTACTACTTTCCCCCCCTACAATTTATCCCATCTAATCAGCAAAACTATAAACCATAAGTTCATTTTTTTAATCTTTTACACAAAATGCCCATAAGTGTTTTCACTCACCAATAAATGAAGATATTGTCTTTTCAGTTAAAAGTATGTCTTGTAGCCTATGATTAGTATTATTGTTGACAGCCATACAGGTGAAACTCGAAAAATTAGAATATCTTGCAAAAGTTCATTTATTTCAGTAATGCAACTTAAAAGTTAAACTTAAAATTTAGCCATATTTAGTAAGAGGAGAAATTCAGCTATTTTTTCCACAAGGCTTCTTGCATTGAGTAGCTTGCATTTAAGGCCAGCTGTAGTTGGAATTGAGGTAGTTAGGGGCATGTGTGCCTAGTTTTGGGTAATGGTGGATTGGTTGAGGTAGGGTTGTGGTTGAAGGTTAAAGCTGAGTTGCGGGTTGTGTGACTTACTTTTGATACAGTCAGCATGGTAGTCAATGTACAGGTCCTTCTCTCCATTGTCTAGATGGTTTTTGAGTTCTGTGCGGAGTACACGGGAGCGGGCACGTTGCTGTATGGTTAGGTCAGAGCGACAACGGAGGTTCTTATGGTTGGTGTTGCTTTTGGCAAGTGAATTTATAGTATAAATGAATTTACGTTTGCTTGATTCATTTTTGCAAATGACCCTGCAGAAGCATGGGGCCACAGAGCCATCTCTGTTTTTGAACTCTGGGCTGATGTGGGAAACCCCGATGCGGGAAATGTCAAGTATTTCATCAGGGGAGATGGTTGATGCTTGATAATTACTGATGATGTTTCGGACAGTTGTGATGTCATCATTGTCATTGATGTCCTCTAGACCAAATAAGATGGCATTTTGGACGTTTCTGTTCACGCTCAACAGCTTCTCTGATGAGGATTGGGATATCATTATTTGTCTGATTTATGTTTTTTTTGTGGATTGGGTTGTGGATTGGTTTGTGGTTGTTGGGTAGAGATGTGGTTTGTAGCTATTGGATGTTCAGGTTTTTGCGTTGTGTCTTTTTTTTCAAGGTTGGATAATCTTTCTTTTAAGGCGTCCAGGGATGCTACTATGGTGTCAAGGGATGTTATTCGTGTTTCTATGGTATCAACTCTTTCAAACAGATCCAGTTTGGGTCTGCATGATTTGCAGAGATATGGAAACTCATTGGATGATTCTAGGTATTGTATCATTTGCTTGGGTAATCCCAAGCAGTCATGATGAGTGTATTTGTTACATAGAGAACATTTGGTGGAATTTTCATTATCCTTTGGAGTTTTATAGCATTTAAGGCATGTGCAGGAGTCTTGTGGTTCATTGGTGGGTATTACTTTCTCTTTAGGTTGTGGTTTGGCATTGGATTTTTTTCTTGGCATGGTAGGTTTGTTAAGATGGTACGTTGATTAAATTACTTCATGAAACAATTTTGGGTAATCAATATAGCCAATATCACACCAATCAATCAATTGCAATAATCTCTCTAGTCAAATAATTTTGTTAAGCAACTATCAGCTTAATCAATTAATTACACTAATTGCTAATCAATTATTACACTAATCATTAATCACACTGTTCAATTAAATTCACTAAATCACTAATTTTACTAATCAATTAAAATTACATGAATCTTGATCTTTTAAATTAATCAGTAATCACACCATTTGCACTAAATACTGTAATCACACTAATCAATTAAAACAATAGATCAATTAAACCATTAATATTTTATAGAAGTTGATTATCAGCAGTGCCACAGGCTGATAGCTTCCATGCCACGCCACATTGAAGCAGTAATTGCTGCAAAAGGGGCCCAAACCATGTACTGAGTACATATGCATGCTTATACGTTTCAGAGGCCCGATATTGTTCTATGTACAATCCTTGTCTTATTGATTGCATGTATTATTCTAATTTTCTGAGATTGTGGATTTGGGGTTTTCATGAGCTGTAAGCCATAATCATCACAATTATGACATATCACAGCTTGAATGATCTTGCTTTGCATGTAATGAGTCTGTCTCATATATTAGTTTCACCTTTTAAGTTGCATTACTGAAATAAATGAACTTTTGCATGATATTCTAATTTTTCGAGTTTTACCTGAATTTTGTATCACTGTGTGGGAACTGAACCATCAAAGAAATATGAACACACACACTGTAATAGACTAGTTACAGAAACTCAAATCCCAGATTTAAAAACAAACAAACAAATACAATAGACAAAGCAAGCATACAAATGTAAGTTCATACACACAGAGAAACAGTTACCTGCTTTGTCACTGACAAATGTCTGCTGCCATTTAAATAAATGCAAATGATGGGGAAATGAATGCAAACCAAATAAACAAATGAATCTTTAAAAGGAAATAAACCTTGAGCTAAATGAATCTTGAGCCAGAAGCTGTGGGAGAGTTGTATGAGTTTCATTGGTATTCAGGCATAAATCTATTCAAACCATCTCTGTGTTTGTGTGGCTTATATATATATATATCTATGGCTATTTAAGCACAGAAATATCCAACTTTATTTTTATAAGCAATTTTCCTGAACGATCATTAGTTGCCCTCTACTTTCCATCAAATATGCAACTTCCCCCAAATTAAGCTTTGCTGGATGCAATCTCTGAAATGAGTCAACATTTGGAGAATTACACAATAGGAAGAATAATATTATCATCTCCAGATTAGTTAAGAATGGGGAAATTTAACTGATTTGTTTAGAAACAAAAAAAACCCACTAACCAAATATGCTCTTATGTGTGAGGTTAAGTCCTCTGTAGGTCAAAATTCATGCCTTGATG